TCCCCCCCCCCCCCCTTCCCCTCCCCCCGATCGACCAATGGTTGCTGTATCGAAAAGCCCATAAAAAACTAAGGGTCAGTTTCGAATACCAAATAAAACAGGTGGGGCGGGCCGAAGGTCAGGACAAGCGGTCGCAGTGCATTAGATGATGCTGCACCTGTGGTCACTCTCACCTGTCAGGCAGTGTCCACGCATGCTTTGTGCATTTTGCTACTGGTGTGTCTTGATATTTTTCTACGAAACGGATTTCGACTTTGACTATGATTTGTGACATTTTACCTGTAAAACAGACATGCGCTGCACTGAGCTGCTGCCACATTCTCCTTAGAAAGCAAAGGTAGAATTAATGGGTTTTTGTGAAAAGCATTTTGCCTGTCCCACCAGCTTCCTTATAAGCATCCTTCGAAGGAGCGAGCTATCGACAGCTTTGACCAATGCGTGGTTGCTTGTGACATTCAATGCCACTCGAACTTTTCGCAACTGCTTCTATCTCAATAGAGGCAAAGTGAATGTTGAATTTGGCTATGTTTTCTGACATTTAACTCATAAAACAAACACGCATTACCTTGAGTTAACACCATATCTAGAAAGAACTGGATGGGGCTGGGTAACTTGTTTTACCGATTTTATGTTCTGTTTTGTTATTGCTGTTATTCTAAATAAAAAAATATTTTATTCTTGTTTTCCTGTTTTGAGGTAATCATGGTTGGTTATTCATAAACATCGAGGAAGTCTGTTGACCTAAGGTAATAAAAGTATCTTAACCAAAGGTCACCACTGGCGGGATGGTCATTGGCCACTGGCTGGGCTATTTCACAAAAACCACTTCATAAATGATGACCTGACCTAAGACAAAATCAATATTCAGCACCGCCCAGATAGGAATAATACTGGATCCATCTGGGATTCTCTTGTGGGTCTTCAGTGGTGGTGAAGAGCTGTGGGAAAGAGGATTCATTTTTTCTGTTTCTTTTTTTTTTAAATCTAACTTTTACGCTTCTTTTCTTTGTCTTTAGTCTTTCTGTCTCTTCCGTTTGGTTGTACAACCTGATTAATTGATTGCTGCTAATAATTTCGCGCATGCTCTACTGAAAACTAAAAGCATTTTTCATCCAATCGAAAAATGTATACTGTCAAAACGGGCCTTATCAGTAGAAAAGTTTTGATCCACCACCAGATTCTTGAGGGTGCGGCCTATGATTCATATTTACTTTTATCTTTCTTACTTTAATTATATTTTCTGTCATATTCTGTCTCAACTTTTCCTTTCATTTTATTCGTTCCTTAACCAGTAATCCGCAAAATATATGTGCTTGTTCAATGCCTGTTTCTTCTGATAGAGCAAGACTTTGTGTCTATCCCAATTACGAAGTGGTACCACAGGAGCTGTGAATACAGCAGGGGTTCACGCCCCAGAAATCTTGATGCTGTTCTGGGATATCATGCCAGCTGCTTGCTGGGAGGGAAGCGCGCATGCTCGAAGTATCTGCATTTCCAAGACTCCAAAAAAAAAAATTTGCTAATTGGGATTACTAATTACTAGAAAATTAATTACTAATTGCTAAAAAATTATTTTTCTGCAAAGAGAGTTGGATTTTAGTAGCAAAAACCGATTTGAATTTTTCCATCTACCGTAATACAGTGATGTGAATTTACGCGTTACAGTAAGCTCAGCTGCAAAAGAGAAATATGATGAAGTTGAGGGTTTGAGAGCAGCTGCCAGCCTTCAATTGGTCAGAAAACTACCGTATTCCCAGCACAACAACTCTTTTTGCTCACACTTTGGTGAAGCTGCTGATTACTGGGAATTTTACAGGAACTGAGGTCTTCCTTGCTTCTTGCTAAGCCCTGTCCTTTGATCACGATGCTTCCTAGCTTCAGTTGTACCTTCATTTGTTTCCTGGGTCTTTCTGCAACTTTTATTCGTGTGCAACTTAGCTCTCCAGTTGATCTGGATCTGACAAAGGAACCAGTAGAATTTTGCGCAGGAAGTTGTTTAGCTCGAGCACTAGGCGATATAGAAAGTTGAATTTCACAAGGAAACGTCAATTTTTTGTGCGGCTTCGGAACTACAAACACCTCTCATGCATACGCAATACTTGGAAAAGAATATCCGGGAATTTCAGTCATGAAATTCTCTGGCTCGGAGGCCAAAGAAGATGGCTGAGGTTTGTTAGGACGTCCATTTGCTACCTAAGCCAGCTTCTTCAGAATTCGGGTCTTAAATCAGTGATCATGCACTATTGTCCCATCTTCTAAAATGTTCTCTCGCCAAAATTATCAATTTTCCATCATATCGATCCCACCACTTATACAGCTACTTAACTAATCGTAGACATCCTCAATTCTTGTTCCAAAGTAGCTATCCTACTTCACTCTTTATCGCCTCTCCTTTAAATCCCAATCCTTGGTCACAAGCCGACATCAGCACCGACCTGTCGCTTCGCCGCTTTCGGACCTCCCAAAGCCACTGGTCATTTTTTTCTTTTTGTTCTACATTATCGTTGTCCTGTTGCGTCTTTCTAATGAGATTTTGTAGTGCATGATTGACATGTATTCAGAAACTTGATTATCATAATTTCTTGCGGATTATCCCGCCCCGCTTCAGCTTAATCCTCAAAATTCCATTACATAAAGGTAATTATCACTAGGACACTTTGGTGCCGCCGACTTAATTCCCATAATTCCGTGCTAATTATCTTGCGATTTACAAGTAATTATGACTAGATCACGTCTTTAGATGTAAATGCATCAAAGGCAGAAGCAGAATTGGGAATTTGAACATGGATTTTTCATATGCACGCCTTCCTCGTTCGGATATAAATTTCAGAGAAGGTCTTAATAAAATCTTTTTGTTGGGGCCCCTTTTAAGATAGAAAGCAGTAAAATTATGTTTTCTGTCCATTTATAGTCAAAGAAATTTCAATTCAAATCTTTCAAATAAGGAACGTGAATGATACTGATGGGAAATTTTCTAACTCAAGAATCAGAAAGGGTTGAAAGCTGTAATTTTAGGGCAATGTTTTCCAGCTATCTTGTCCAAGAGGAAAGTAACTGTCAACTTCTTTTGAATTAATTTTGTCTATATGCAAAGCAGCTTTAAGAGTGTAGGTACTATCAAATAACACTTGATATTGATGTCCAAATTTTCAAGCCCACCTTTTGGCGCGTTGCGCGAGTATTTTTGCCTAGTTCAGAATATCAGATTTGTAGAAGATTTTTGCAGACTCTGTTCGCCACTTATCAATTATCGATAATAACGACTAACTAGAATATTTCTGGAGTTTTAATAATGGATAACTTTGGCAGCAAACCTTTTGCTGTTGAATATAACAGTACAAGGAGAAGTTGGTCAGCCAGGTAAGATTTCTTCGTAAGCGTCACACACCTCTAGTTTAAATCCAAGTGAGTCTTTTGGTTGGTGTTGATGCGAGTAAGCACAGCTGGGCACTACCTCTGTCTGTTTCAGCCTCAAGCAAAGGGTGAAATGTAGCTGGATTTTGCCTTTACCGTCAAAATTAACAGATGCTTTTCAATCTAGCTGTTGATTTTTTTCAGGATAAAAATCCCGAGCCAACTGCGTGGGTTTGTTATCGGGCCCCAGGGCTCGATCATTAAGGGAATACAACAACAGACCGGATGTCGTGTTGTATTCCCGCATAAGGATGAAGCGGACAAACCTGTGGGTATGTCGATTTTTATCCGCTGATATAATTCTTCAAATTTTTCATGTTTCGGAAATTTCTACCTATTTTTGGCTTGAAAATAGCCAAAGTAAAAATGCCCACCTTTTCAAATTTGCCTGGTCAAAGTATCAAAGTAATGGTAAAATGAGCCTTCCTGAAAATTTTCATGGGAACAGACTTCCCGTCAGATGAGCGGCGTGTAGGATGTTATCGCGTGGGAAAGTTAAATGCAGTGGCCTGAGCATGTCACTAGACTTGCCGGCAACCGGTGGTTGTAGCGCATTAACGGGTGGTACTCGCGAGGAAATAAAAAGTAGCTCAGATAAAGTATATGCCGGTAACGTGGATATATCGAACAAACAGTAGGTTGCTAACTGAACGTATGAATCCCAGGACTGAAGGACCAGATGTAGCTAAAGTCGGCGCTTGTGAGCGTCTCAGTAATATCAATAGCATAAGATGCCCAAAGTGAGACGCCCGGGTAGCTCTACCTTACCCTTGATTAACGAGACTCCTCGGGAATGATTCTTGATATTCCTCAGTTATGCATAAGAAAGTGTTCATGGTTTAGGGGCACTAGATTTCAATAGATTATAACCTAAGCTTGTATAAAATTTTTTTTTTATGTTGCAGAGCTCATATCTTCTGTCTCGAAGGGCAGTGTTTTGCAATGCCGAGACAGAATCGAAGAGGTGATGCGTGAAGTGCGGCATCGCGTCGGCTTCACGCATTTCGTCTCGCTTTCAATGGCTTATGGAGACATCAAGAAGAGATTCTGCGACTTTTGTCGCATGGTGCAGCAGGACGACGAATTGCCGGTAGTGTATTTTTTTTTAAATCACGTGTTCAACCGATCTACCCTTGTCGTGATCTTGGTAGCATTTGAAAAGAGATAGTTTCGCCCAACTTTCAGCAATCTCGAGACGACTAAATTCTTGCCAAAACGCATCATTAGGGGAACAAATGAGCTGTTAATCCCTTAAGAAGACGAAACTAGCCCTAGGATCGACAGTAAGCTAGCCTCTGGGCAAGGTAGTATTATTCAGAGAAACTCAGAAGTGAAAAATGTGAGGCCACTGCAACAACTACATTCCCAAGAGCCAAATTTGATTGTCTGCAATGAATAAAGTGTATCAGATTGAGTTTCAGGGCGCGAGGGAAAAGATAGGGGAAAGCGAGTACATAGCACTTAAAATCTCGATAAGTAGTCGAGTTGCCTCAAAATACAGAGAACTAATTCACACTCGGGGCAAAAGTAGAGTAGAAAAGAAATGCGCGATCTGAGGTCCATTTTCTGTTTTCATCGAAAAATGGATAACCCTCGAGCTATCCGCAACTCACAGTTCCTCGAAAATCACTAAATTTACCATATTTATAAATGCTTATAGCGGGGCTCGTCACGCTTACTGGCACGTCTTTTACAGGAGTCGTGCAGGTTAGTTGCAGCATTCCAAAAACCGGCAAGGCTGCATCTAACCTTAACGATGCTCACGCTGCTGGGTAAGGAGGAAGAACCAGAAGCAACGAAAGCTCTGGACACAGCGATTGGAGACTGTGTCAGGTTGGATAATATCTTCACTGTTTTTTGGCACTATTTTGAACGTTTTTCCTCCAAAACCAAGACGAGGTGCGGGGATATTTGAATCGGAAATGCTGCGACGCAGTTACCTACTTATGATACTTATGATAAGAATGGCAATAACAAGAAGTGCCAGTGCTGTCTTATTGAGGGTCGAGGAGAAAAACAATTCTTCCGAGTCGTTTCGATGAGAAATTGCTCACTTAGCCGAAAATCGCACGATTTTTTTTTTTTTTTTGAGGAAAAGACGGTCTTATAGCAAGTTTACTGGCATCTGATCATCATCAGTTATTTATCAAATGGGAATATTTGCCGACACTAGAAATTTGTTTATCGTTTTGGCGCAAAGTTCGTGGTAAAACGAAGATTTCGGATACGTCAAATTTATTTCTAAAACGAAAATTTAAATTTTAGCAGAATTCTCGAAGATAAGCCATTGGAAGCTGAAATTAAGGGACTAGATATTATGAATAATGATCCGACGCGAGCCCGAGTGCTTTATGCGTGCGCCTCCTCGGAAAGGTTAGTCTTATACACAGATTTTTCACTGTTCTTCATGGTCATCGATATAACAGGCATTCTCCCCGTTTTCTCGGCTTTGCGATCGTAAATATCACTGTATGCACATGTATGGCTATTAGTGAAGGTCACTTTTGCTGACTACATTCTCGCGTCGGCCGTATTAGCTTCCACCATCACCATATAGTTAGCCCAGCTTCTCAAGATGATCTAGTCCAGAGTTAATTCAGTCTAGTCCTGACTGAGCTACACTTAACTTGACGTAAAGCTCAAGGATTTTTGCAACTGTGTGATAAGTATGGAATATGTAAATACGGTTTCTCTTATCTTCAGGCTTCAAAAATTCGCAGACGCAATTGCAAATGCGATGAGTAACGCCGGATTTGCGCCTAAGGAGGAGTCTGTGAAACTCCATATGACCCTCCTAAACGCCAAATATGCGGTTTGTTTATCATTCGATCATTATCTTTGTAATTTTACTGACCTTGTTGTTTTAATTAGATTCACCGTAGTGCCCTCGTAGCCAGCAGCTTGTGTTTTTCCTGAGGAATGTTAAATTTGCCCACTGACTTGTCGCTATTTATATAGCCTTTAAATGACTTAACAAGATACATTCATCTACACAGAGGCATTAAATAATCCTAGAATAGCAAAGATTATGAGAGTCCTGTCGCCCGTCATTAGTGGCTTGCCATCAGACTCAAGGAGAGCTGTGATAGTACTGAATTTCACGGAATACTGGTCTTTGGATGCGGAAATGTCCGGAGACACAAGGGAAAGTATCCATTTTGACACTTCCGATGATGTTAAAAAGTATATGTTTTAGCGAGGATCGATTGAGTCGATGAATGTCTCACGACTACTGGAAAAATATCGAGATTTCCAGTTTGGAAGGATAACCGTCCGTGAGGTAAGTTGAAACTCTGAAAAATTTTTCGAAGATAACGAACGCGGAGTGACCCATTAATTTGAAAAAGAACGAAGGCTGACCACTGGTACTTCCCCCTCTTCCTTCGCGGGTCGTATCTTTGCCTCAAAAAAAGGATCAGCCTTCTAATCGTCGGAATTTTTACGTCATCACGTACGCAGATGTACAGACACACGTAAATGAATATGCACGCACATGCGCACAGAAAAGGCAAGCATAGGTGTATAAAGACGTAATTTTAGTACAGCGCATTTTGTGTTGATTTATTGCCAATGGGCAAATCCGTCTTTAGCTTGCTTCTAAGCAATTTTCGATAGAAGGAGCTATCGGGGAACTTTGTCAGTGGGTGGTTGCTGTTGGCACTTGTTACTCCCTGAACTTTTGGATGTTTTCTTTTCTTCTGAACGTATACCGCGGGGAGGGAAGCGAGAAAAGGTTGATTTCAGATTCGTGCAAAAATGTATAAATTTGTACTTTCGGAAACTGTAGGCTTAGTGCTTCTAGCTTGTTTTCCCTCATGCAGTCACATCTGTTAGTTAAGCTTCAGAGGACTTCTTTTCACTTCGTTTCAAGAACTTTGATAGTCATGCCGTGAAGAGTTCCTTTTCAGGTACATCTATCATGCTTGAAAGGAGGCGTATTCAAGTATGGCTACTATGGTGACTTGGCGACGCTTCCACTAGTTTCTTCGAGAAGAGGATGATGAAGTCTGTTGTACATAAGAAGCGCATCAATTACGGTGAAATTTGATACCGAAATTTGTTTTTAATTTGCTCATGTATTTGTAGTAGTTGTTTTTAATATTTCTCAAGTTACATAATTGTATTGATATGTTGTTCAAGTTGTATAATTTTTATAATGTTCAAGTTGCACATACGTGTATTGACTAGTTTTGTTTTTTAGTTACTTAAGTAATATAAATGTACTGATTTGTTTTTGATTGTGGTACTAGAAGGAAATATGTACGATTTTATGAATAGAAACAATCCTTACCAGCTCGTTAAGAAATTTTTGTCTAGCTTCATAATTTTTTAATTTTCCTCTACTTATGCCATAACAATTTCTGTTCGTTCATTTAATTTAAAATTTGTTTTAATGCTGCTCTATTAATTAATTTGTATTTTTAAGTCTTTCATTAATTTATCAGATTGTTGTGTTTGGTTTAACTGT